TATTTGGCCACTGTTGGATATAAATTAATCGTCAACTGCAGTACAAAGACTTCGTCTTTTATAAAGGTGCCCGATCGTTACAACAGTGTGAGGATATCTCAAGCCATCCAAATGTGAATGAGGTGCTTTTTTAACGATCTTGGTTCCCCCTCTCGTGAGCTCAGATGTTCGCTTGAACAGACACCACTGCTTCGCTAGAGACGTGAAATGGGACTCAACTAAAAACCTGGCTTGACCGAGCCCATCAAGACAGGGAGATTATTAGTGAACATTCAGTATATGGTCTTCGTCGTTGTGAGAAGAGTAAGTCGAGCTCTTCACATGCATTGTCGCCGATCGTAACGCATGAAGAGGCACAACCAATGACCCTGTACTGTACATAGGCCCAACAGACGTACCCAAACTTTACCGTTCTGGCACTCCCCCTCTGTCCAGTAGGGCTTAAGTTTTAAATAAGTCTGGCTACCACCTGCAACACGCCTTAAAAGGATTTTTTGCAACTCGACGCTAAGACACAAATAGCAACAATGTTACAGACGGCAAACATCGAGAATACATGTGGGTGTGATCTTCGGTGATGTTGGTTTCCAGCGCAAATGGACCGTTATGATCCGATTTATAGTGACCACAGCGGCACGTGGAACCACAGTGGTAAAGGTTAAAGCAGCACTATCGTTTGGTGTGCTGGTGCTACATGGGTTAGGACACGGTGAGCCCAAAGCCCATGGGTAGGCAATTTCCATATTTTATATTTTAGACATCATCAACGGCTGCTCTAAATCCGGTATTTTTTACTGCCGGATTAGACTATGCTTTCTGAAAGTTGGAGCTGAGGTAGAGCAACAACAAAAATGAACAGTTCGTCTGACTACTATATCCTTAGTCAAACAGGTTTATGCTGGAAATTTTGCACTTACTGAGACTAAGGAGTATTAAGCGGTCCTCGGGGAAGGCGCCATCCTGCAGATCGGAAGGACAGCTGTCCGTTGACTGCAGCAAAAACCAAATAATTATGTTCAGATCCTCGGGATTCCGCAATAGCAGTTCTAAAAGAGCAACATTACGCAAAATAAATGAACAAGTGCATTCATAATTTTGGCAGCAAGAGGCGACTATTAACCAAAGAAAAAGGCAGGGCTTTAAGATCATCAGGAAGTCTTCGTACGTTGCATGACTAAAAACGTAGTGACTCATATTTATGGACTTTGAGTAAGGGATTGAGCTAGAGAGGTTATTATTTTGCCCTAACAAACATGACAATTAGAAAACAAATAAAACAGAAGATACTTTTAATAAAAGTATGCTGTGTACAGCACTGTTTCTACAAACTGCAACATAGGGGAGAAAACTTTGCCCAAACCCAAGTAGATATGAGTCACGAGTGATAGGGCAGCTGAGAAGGGGCACAAATATAGTAGTACCATAGGATGTTAGCAGTGGAGGACTTGGCAAAAGAACAGAGGTAGTGGAAAGTTGACGGAAAGGGGACTAACCTTTAAAAATTCCTTCGACATATTCTTGCTGCACAGATTGTTCGTACATCGCTTTATTCACAAAGCTGCTGTCCATAACATAGCTGAATGGTTTTTCTGCATTCTCGAGATTACATTCTGCAAGCACAGAGGACAGTACGGCTTTCCAAGGCGGCAAGGACTTTTCGCTGGGAAGATGGGAGCACGTATCAGTGTTTTGAGAGGAGCTCATCAGCTGAACTGAATTATGAGCAATGCTTGCTGCCTGGAGTTTCAAGCAAATGCTTTCAGTGTAAGCAGATTCCCAGAAGTGGTTGTTCAGGAAATTTACGTTGCTAACACGTTGAACTTCCTCTAAAGCACACAGCCGAAAGTAAGCGAATGAGGCATTCCGAAACCGGTCATTTCGTTTCTGAAAGTTAAAAGCAAACAGCTATTAACAAACCGACGATATCCTTTTTAGAGCAAAAATCGGATATTGCGTCCAAATGCATAATGTAATGACGAGATCACTTTAGGCAAATGAAGAACAAAGATCCGTATGCAACCCGAAACACTTTCCCCTTCCCCTGTGGTCATAAACTCGACAGGAAAGAAGCGAAAGGTCTACTTTCGTCCAGGCACCAAAATGAGCTTTGCGATATGACCCTATTCCCCTTTCCCCTTGTACATTTTGCTTGCTTTCGTTGACGGTTAATTGGCCCCTTCCCCCTGTAAATGCTACTTGTTTTCGTTGAAGGTTAATTGGTTCTTTCCCCTATAAATGTTGCTTGCTTTCGTTGATAGTTTTATCTCTGACGATGGACTCCCGCAAAGGTTCGAAAGCTCCGACAAATAAAACTGTGATTCCGGTGATCGAAAATACTTCTCAATATATGACCATATTAAATAGGATTAAAATAACCGGCAAGGAGAACACTTATGGCAGAAAAATTCTAAGCACCTTCGCTACGTACGTTTTAAAATAACAAACAAAAGGACAATAATCGTCAAAAAAAATATGGCAGGAGGTGGATCCCCTGAAATTACATGGAATTACCTTCTTGTGGACACGAAGAAGAAAAACCCCGATGTAGAAGAGGAGCCTGATTCGCATATATCCACTTAATTGCTGCTCAAAAGAGCTTTCAGTTTCTTTAAACAGTGATAATTGACGGTCGAGCTGTAGGAGGTTTGTGCAGAGGTCAGTTATACAAGCCGTGTGAGCCGTCAGGCGGGGCAGTTCCATTAAGGCAACACAACGAAGGAACTCCTTGTGGTTATACCAGCTGGCCTGCGAGGAGGTAGTTGGAACACGCTGACAGTATGCGGGAATTTAACTCTAACTTACCGAAAGTAAATCCAGTGCTGAGTTAAAGAACGTAGCCCTGTCTATATTCCGAGTAGTATTAAGCGTTTGGATGCATAAATTAAATGCGTCGTCAAATTTCTCATCGTTTATATAATGTTTCAATGAGGCTATGGTTAGAGATAGGCTAGAAATGCTGGTCTAAAACAGTCAGTCTAATAAAATGCAATATACCGTTCCGTTGACCTGCGGCTTATTCATCTCAGACTTGGGAGCTATAGTAGCCCTGTGAGGACTGTTTTGGGTCTGGGAAAAATATAAATTAAAGACTGTACGTCACCTCTCTCAACGGCTTAGAAGCTGTAAGAAGCCGGCTAGATGACGGGCTTGGAGCACCGCGCCACGAGAACATGGCTCCGAACTAAAACCCGCTAAATGTACGTCAATTCACGCCACCCGGATAGACACCAAAGTTCCACTTTTAGACAGCCTGCCAGAAGTAAAGTGGACAGTGTTTCTCAGAGAATTAAATGTTTCATGATACTTTATCGTTTTTCTATTCAAAAATTCATATGTATGAACTCAGTACAACACACAGTAGTACGCACTAGGACTTCCAAGGAATGGAATAACGGTAAAACATGCAAGAATGGAAAGGACTGCAAAGTTAAACCGTTGTGACAGGGGGCGCACGTACTGCAGTTGCGGGAAAATATCAAGATTTCAGGAAAAAGAAAACCTGGAAGACAAGTAAGAGGCAAAAAGGCGAAACCAAAAAGTGGTCGCAGAACAGCGACAGTGATAACAACGCATAAAAATGACATTAAGATGGAAATAAGATTGTGGAAAACATGAGCCAGATATCAACAACGTGAATGTTTCTCCGTTTTTAAAAAACAGCAAAGTTTGTGCCGAAAGCTCCTGCGGAAGGAACATTGGCCTCTGAGTGAGAACTAGTCCAGGGAACACCGACCAACTCTTCAAGGTTCTTTTCTTGCGCGAATCGAGATCCCATTCCCTGTCTGGAAGGCAATCAGGGAAACAAGTTAGCTGATATGTTAGGTAATGTGTTTGGTAATGTCTAACTTTTGTATGTCTGTATATACTAAGGAGCCGCCTTTTGACGAGTACGTATAGCGATATATTGCCACACCAACAGATACCATTAGCGCGGTGTCCATCGCAGCAGACACAGTAAGAAAATTCCTGAGACAGCTACAGCCCACTAAATCGTCTGGTACCGATGGCTTATCAATGAAAGCTGTACAAAACTACCATGCCCGCCCTCCAAGGTCTTCGAAAGTACAATGGAGGAAAAGGATCTATCTGCAGAACGGAAGCTAGCTGACATAACCCGCTTTTTATAAAGGAGGAGAGGGAGCCTTCCCCAATAGCTTTAGACCAGTAAGTCTCACAAGCACTTGTTGCAAAATAATGGTGGAAATAATCAAAACATAACTGATTAGACATATTTTGGAGAACTAATACCACACAAACTCCAGACAACAATGCTTGTTAGAAATAATGCTACTCAAATTTCGTGAATCCTATTTAAAGAGGGACAGTCGTTAACTGCGCATGTCCAAATATCTACGATGCAACTATACAATAAGCTTTTCAAAAGCATTGCGCATTGATCTCATCGAAGAAACTGAAACAGAACACCTAGTTAAGTGCGCGTCAACATGGATTTAGAGGCGGTTGATCTTGTATCATTAACCCGTTAATGTTCGTGGAAAAGTGGATGAATTAATTGAAAATGGGCTCGTCATTCGATGCGATCCACATGGCCTTCAGCAAAGCCGTTGACAGGGTCCCACAGAGACGATTAATATCAAAGCCTCATGGGTGCGACTGGCAATTTTCTCAAATGGTTAGCCGACTTTCTTAGATGCCGGCTTCAACGTGTGTGTATTGGAGACATCAAATCGGAATGAAAATCTGCCCACAGTGGAGGTCTTAGAGGTGAACGTTCTGGGTCCCATTCTATTTATGATATGCGCCTTGCTTGCCTTGTTTTGCTGATGATCTGATATCATGGAACTCAATCGAACGTCCAGATGGTTCACAGACCTCACAAAATAACTTGGATCACTTGCAAAATTGGTGTGATATGATATGGTATTCGCATGTCATAGCATATCACATATCATATCATCTCGTATGAACATGGGTGTCTCATCGGAGGTCACCAAGTAAAGGAATTAAGCGATCTACATGCGTGCATGACGTCCACTCTCAAAGCATCAAGTCAATATGCCAAAAAAACAGGGAGCGCAATGAGCATCCCAGGAGCGCTTAGGAGGTCCTTTTTCTGCTTTGGCGAGGAGCTTGTTGGTCACGTATTTGGAACATTTGTCCGACCGATGTTAAATTATTGTGTTCAGGTGTGATGCACCTGGATGCAGCAACATTACGCTCCGCTCGAGAAAGTTCGGCGAGGGACGACCAAACTAGTAAGCAGTTTGCGCTAAAATAGAATATCTTTATTATGCCAGTTTACAGGCACTTGTAAAGAGCTGGTAGTGCACCTCTTCGGCGCCTTCCAAAACCTCGAAGACCGGAAAAAACC